GTCAAAAAATGGTTTAGTCCCTCACATCATGATTAAACCATCTAGTGGAAATTGTATTTATTTTGCTTATAGGTACATTTCTCCTTTCCCCCTCACTCTGTGTGTGTGTCTTTATGTATGTTGTTACAGTAAGACATTTAATCAAGCCCTTTTGAAGTGGTAGAGTGGAAACAGCTGTATCTGACAATGTGCTGATGACATGGGGCTTAAAGCTGTCATGAGCTCCAGATTGCAAGCACCACTAATATGTGGTTGGGATGGTAGTGACTTACAGGTCATGGCACCTCCTTGAGGAATGCTCCTAAGCCAATCAGCTCAAGGTGGTGGCTCAAAGTCTTAAGGCTCTGGTGAGCTCTCTTTCATTTAATACTCTTGAGGTCACACTTCAAAGTGCCCTTTCTTCTCAAAAGCCATTGGCCATATGTGGGGGTTCTAGAGCAGTTTATAAAGACTGGCTGCTTCAGTCAGGCTCAGGCTTAAAAAATTAGAAACGCAGCTCTATTACACAAATGATATCTTAAAAGTTGAACAAAGGCTTAAGTCGGTATCTCACATTCTTGTAAAGAATGCCAATTTAAAGACAGTTTCCGGATGACTGATTTTTCCACAACAAAGCAAGCTTAAAGCTCGTATTTTAGAGTGCCTAACAACTTGCTAGAAGAATTTTCTGGTTTGTGAAGATTACAACATGTAGGGCACCCAGAAATCATCTCTGAATACAGCTTTTCTTCAGCTATACTCACACTCAGAATAATTACTGTATAAATTGTCCAAGAAACTTATGGCTTCATTTCTTCATGCAACTGAATTTGCTAAAATTAGACTAACGTGATTAATGTACACTCAAGCCAACACTGCTAGAACAAACACACGTGTTTCTCACTGAGAAGGCTCTAAAATGATTTTGTTTTGAGCATGGTACAACACACAATGCAGTAACGTATTTTTTTGGAAAGCATTCATAAAGATCAAGGGGCTAGGGAGACTAATCTCTGCAGGTTGCCTACAGAGTTGAAGGAAGAAAAGAGAGTCCTGTAAGAAATAATTAATTGCAAATAAAAGGTTTGTTTTCTGAACTGCTTCCTGGACTCCTCTCTGTCCCTTGGCTGTCCAGGAGAAGTCGAGTCTCTGAAAGCTAAAATAGACATAACCTTGAGAATGCTTGCTTCTTCAATAAAGTTAAAGACAAATTGTTCCCATCTTCAAAGCAGCACTGTTCTACAGAAAATACTCTCATCTGAAATTTGTCTGGAAATTACTTTCATGGAGTATAAATACCTGCCTACTCTAAATAAGGCCAATTGTGAACATTATTAAGAAAACAGCTAGGTCTATATCTCAAACACTAATACAGCCAGACTTGTTTTTAATTTGCATCCAAACTCCTTTTCAGCTGGTGCAGCTCTTATATCAAAGTGTTTTAATTCTTTTACCATTTGCAGACAGAATGTGTATCCAAAAGCAAGGATGGCATTCAAGATGTGGATATACATTTTAACACAACTTTGCTGTAATCAGTCATTCCTTTACTGATTATATTTTCTTTGCAAATACTTTTATTCATTGTAATAAGACTTGTAAAGAAAAAAAAAGACTTGTTTTCTCAGACCTCAGAATTAGTTCAGTGATGAATGAATCATCCCCAATATTGCAAAAATAAAATCTTTTTATGCTTGCTTTCTTAAAAACAATAGCCTGCAAATTTCAGAGAAGTTACATTTTCCGTAACTGAATACTGTGTTTCTGGCAATGTTTTTAGCTGCCTTAGTCACCATTTTTCTAAAAATGGATTAGTTGAATGAGACATGCAGACATGCAGGCATATCGGTGCTCTCTGTTGTTCTTCCATTCTGAGACACTGAAATAAAAGGGCTTGTCTAGGAGACAAATGCAAGAGTGGAGACTGCTGTCTGGAAAAACCACTAAAATAGCCAATTAAGTACCTCTGAAAGTAGTAAATCAGACAGCCATTTAAACTGGACATGGGTGTACAGAAGCTAAGCAGAGCAGTTTCTGGATCCAGAGGCCTTATACATTAGGGAGCAGATGAGGAATTGTGCATAGAGTATTGCTTCATTCCAAAAGCAACACGAATGGTTGAGAAACCAAAGAAAGGTATGCAAAAGGAAAATTCAATGCTGAGAACAAAACCGTGTCATGATAGCTAAACGAGCATAAAAAATTCACTGATAATCAGTAAAAGACTGCATTTACAGTATTACTAAAATCTCTTATTGCTCTTAAGGACTGTATTTTATAGTAGTGATATTAGAGATACCATACAAAATGTTATATTTGTAAAGAAACAAATACAAGAGAGTGGAAATCTGAGATTTGTTTCAGGCTATGCTAGATGAAAACCTCTCAGGAGCCAGGCTTTGGTGTAAAGTTATTCTAAAGAATAAGTGATAACTTAATTATCTTGGCACAGTGAAAGAAAGAAGTTGATAACAAAGAAATGGATCTTCAACTTGGGATCTGGCCAAGTGACTGGGGAACCAAAGGAAAAAGTAATACGGAAAAAAAGCAGAGTGCCAGTTTACTTAGGATTCTGCTCCATAATTCACTCATATCAAACAGTACTGTTTGAAGCACCAGAAGAAGGAAGACTTGTTAAACAGATCCTTTGAGCACTTAATTATACTGGTAACAAGGCTGATCCACTGCATAGAAATGAGACTTCAATGTTGCCACAGTAAACTGACAGAAAATTTGGGGACAGACCTATTTAGCAGCTAAACAGATGCACATTAATATACATATAGGTATGTGTTTATACATACATGGAATGGTAGGAATCTGCATATTACATCACATGAATACATCTAGCAGTTTGAATTTTCTGTCAAGAAATGTTTCTAGACCATTAGTGATGGATACAAAAAACCCCAACCAACCAAAGATCCTTCAAGCACTTATTCTATTTAATGATATTTCTTTATCATTATGACTCACATAATTTTGCTGATCCTTTGTATTTTTAAGACAGTGAGAGGATACACAGGCTACATACAAAATAACAAAATCAACTGTGGTGGTTTTCAGGCTGTGAGTATGGTTTCTACACCACCCTGCACTGGGCCACTGCAGTCTCTAGGACAATACCTGGACACACTCTAAGCAGCTGGTACAATCAGCTCTAGAGAATAGTTCTGGGCATATTTAATTTATTGGCACAGATGCAGCCATGAAGTACACAGTTCTTCAATAATTTTCATTCCATATTCCTTTGGAAAGATTGGGAGCTTCTGTCCTACTATGTATGCATTGAACTGCTTGCCACCAAGTAAGCCACCTCAAGCGGCTTCTTTTCCTCCCAGTCTGAAACTAGTATGGTAAATTTGAGACTTAATAACAATAACAAAAATATGACTACTTCTGGTTTTGTTTACATTTTTGAGACATGCCCCTGTAAAGTCATCAGAGAGTTGATAATGGCTGTGAAAATGGATACAAGTTTCCCACTCTGCACCAATAAAATACTCTTTAAAAAAGTCATGAACCATATGCTTAGCTAGAAAATTAAACTATCATCTTGAATATAAAAGTATAATCTTTTGAAGAAAGCCGAACACCAATACCTATTAGATTTTTACTTACACTAATCAAAGTTAGAAGAAAGTTTCTACAATAAATTGTTTTGATAATCTTATTCTTCAAAAAGGATACTTCAGTCATAACATGTAAAGCTTGTCATCAATAATCAAAAATACCTAATCTTTAGAGTACTATTGCTATGAGCTTGCTGTCAGTCACTCCAAAGCTCTCTGAGAAACCTTGCATATATAACCATATTTATATAGGATTATACACAATAAACTTAGTTTCTGAGAAGCATTTTGAGCATACAATGAAGCACAGAAAAGAGTAATTGTACCAATTTGAAGACAGCTGAGGGAATACTTTTAACATTAAGGTATCATCTCGGAAAAAACGGCAAAAATGTCTTGCATCATACAAGCATTATGAATCACAGTCTTTATTGTTATTTCACAAAGTATGAAGTAATGAAATAAGTAGGTTTTTGAGAGTTCTTAAGAGACAGTATGAAAATCTGTCATTTAATATGAATAAGTCATTACGGGTTTTTTTTTATTATATTTTGTTAGCTTGTTTTGAGTCTTAGCTGTTGTTGCTTTCCATTCTTAGCTCTGAAGACTCCTTTATGTCTTTTTTTTTTTTAACTTGGGTTTTTCTTTTTTTTTTTTTTTTTTTTTTTTTTACTGCATTTGCTGACTTGTATCCTCAAATTTGGCACTATAGACTTCTGTGAAATTTTCCAAGATATGATTTATCGCATATACAAAGTGTTACGTATCTAAAATAAATTTTGTCCCCTTTATGATTTTTTCATCCAAATGTGAAGGTTATTGAAAAGAAATAAAATACTTTTTACTTACCTTGATCAGGTAAGTACAAAGTATTTCATTTCTTTAATTCCTGATGCAATGCAAATTGGAAATATACCTCTCTTCTTAAAAATAATCTGTCACTTAGTCCTATATCTGCTCAAACAATAAGTATTTCTTTGCCAATATACAACTACATCAGAGATAGGCATCTTTATGTTTGCTGAACATTTGCCAGAAGTTCATGACAAATGAAAATGCATAAATGTATTATCAAAAATGCCTTAAACTGTGGCTCACAGGATAGCCTATCATTCTCTTTTACTAGTGAAGAGATGGAATTGGAAAAGCTTTCCAAACTTAACACATTTAAACATAGATAAATAAATCTAAATCTAGAAGTCTTTCCCAAGTATGTTAGCCAAGTAAGACTTATGGCAAGACCATTTCACTGAGGCAACTTGAAAGTGCAGTGACTGGTTTGACAAATGAACAGCTTCATCTGACTACCCAATAATTAACTATTAAAAGAACATATATAACACAGGCTGAGAGATCAAATGCTCCAGGAAATTCTCCTCAACACAAAGGGTTCAGTACCATAGCACGTTCATCAACTTAAATAATGGATATCATTAAGAAGGTACTTACATTAGGTCTTAATCCTGCTGCCATTTCATAATACTTCTCGGCCTCTTCATTAAGACTGGCTTGTCTATCAGGATGGAAAAGAACAACACAGTTACACCTCATTTTTCTCACGTTAAAATGAAACCACACCTAAAGAAGCATAGCTAAAAACTCAACACTGCAACTACTCCCTGCTATTTAAGGATATTACCCTAACAAATGCACTAAATATGTAAACCTAAAAGTTTTCTTATAGTTCAGAACGTCCATTAGCACAAATCGTCTAATCTCTTAGCTTACTTCATTTTCTTTTTGGTTCTGCAATATTAGTACCTAATAGAAAGAAATACAAAATGCTGAACACTCATCTCATACAAAAAAAGAGACATGCCAGTCTTCACCAGAAGAAAACGTGGCTTACTTTTTTATTATCAGACATACTTTAAATTCTGAAACTGTATATTACACCATAATGTCGTTTCTCACTGTATTCCCTCCCAAAACCACTATAATTCCAGCAAAAAAAAGAAAAAAAAAGTCAGGGAACATAAAGATTTCTGAAAACTAGGTTTCCATGACTGAGGGAATTATTTTAGAAAAGAGTTCTCATTTCAGCATTTACTTACATAATTCTGAGCAGGCATTTAAATGCGAATCTCATATTCCAAGAGAATAAGATGAGTTTATGGGTACCTGACACAGTATTAGCTCAACACTTTTTCTTCTTACTACTGTCAGCATCTACATGCTCCTAATAGTTTAGTTTATTATTTCTTCTCCTGATTTTTTGGTTTAAGGTCTTCAAACAAAAATGCAGTCTGTTGCCAAAGAAATGCAAACTTGTTTTTGTCTCAACAGGCCCTTTTTATCACCTCTCTCCAATTCCTCTCTCCTCGCTTTGTCTCCACATTAATTTCCCCTTAGCTATTAATTCTGGCCACTGAATATCAGTTGATCACACACATGTCAAGAGAAAGATGGCCAATCTGTAAGAACAGCCAAGCAGGACTCTCAGGTCTTATCTTCTACTAAAGTCACTTGCTATTTTCCTAGGAAGCACTAAGTCCTTTCATAGGAGAATTAGGACAGGAGATCTTCAGCATATGTGTGTTTGTTATGTGATTACAGATGCATTTCTGTGATACAAAATGGAAACACTAGAAAACAAGGATACAGCTTTAGGGTTGGTTGTTTGATTTCTTTTTTCCTTCTTTTCATGCTTTTGCAAACAGTTACTAGTTGAAAAAGTATCAATTAACTCAGCACCTGTTTTACCTTGTTCATTACATGAGCCTTTACATGATTTGTTATTAAACTGTGCTCTAATTTTGTTTCTATCCACCCAGATTTTAAACATTAGCCATAAGACATGGATAGGCCATGTAATCCCAAACAATATATTTTGACAGCTATTGGTATTGGGAGTAGAAAGGGAGAAAAGATAATCCCTTTGAAGTTTCTCACGTAATTCCTGTGCAACCTGAAACCACTTCATGACTAACAATTTGCTAAATAGAACCTGGTTTATACCTGTTAACTGTTTTAAATTACTTTGCACATGTATCATTGACTCAGCGGTTGCAGTGGTTAGAAAAGATTGAATGTCTAAAAATATTCATTCAACCTGCTTCTGAATCACTCCTGCTGGGCATCAGTAGCACTTGAAACGATTGCAAAAAAAATAATCTTATACTTAGGAAATTCAGGATTTACAACAAGGCACTATAAAATGAAACATGCTACAGAGCTTTTTTTTTTTTTTTCTTCTTTCCTGTTTGCACAGAACTGTCAGGACACAAATCACTTCTGAAAGTGGTGAAATAACATACAATAAACAAGGTGCCTTTCCCAGGAGGCAAATACAAATGGTACACTTCACCTCCAAAAAGAGTTCCTGGCATGTGAGTATGGAACACATTAAAATCCTGTCCCCCCCTTTATGCCAGTGGAAATACATGCATTGCTTTCCTGCCACATGTACATCTTGAAACAAGGATCATTAATTGCCAAGTTGAAATCAGTTTGAATAGATAGTTCTCCATTAAAAACAATTTATAGAAATGAATGCACAACACAGTAACCTGGTGAGGAAAATGCTAGTTCCATTTTTAGGACATTAAGCAACAGTTCCTTTAGTTAAGATGCTTGAGAATTCTGGTTCCCATTTTCACCGCAAATCTAAGGTAGAAATTAATTATGTTAAGCCCTGAAACAGCTTTCCCTTGAGAAAAATTAAAGGCACAGAGTTAGGAAATTGCAGTAACTCTATGCCACTGAGCAGTAAACAGCTCTGGATCAATGTCAAATAAAGGAAGGACACTATTAAAAGTAACATAACTCACATTAGAGTAAAATATTAGATAAAATGTTGATAAAAAAACAGAGAGGAAGGAAAGGGAAAGAGAGAGGTTCAGAAGAGAGTCTTTTTCATAGTTATGGGCTATATTTTAACTTCTATCCTAAATCTTTTCATGAGCACGGATCTTGAAAACGTATCCAATTTTCCCCACTAACAACTAGCACCCAATATCGTTTTAAGGGAAAAAAAAAGTGTCCAGTTTTTATTCTCTCGTATCTCTCAGCCTGAGCTTCCAAACCAAACAATTCCCTATATTTAGCTCCAGCTGACTACCAGTGACACCTAATAAATATGCTTGACAACACATCACTCTTAGATTCTCCTGACACCCCGCTATAATCAGTTTATATTCATTTGATTTTTACATTGTTCACTGGAAAAAATACTATTGTAAGAGAAAAACACCACCAATTCTGACTGATTTAGATATATGTGAGTGGGAAAGGGATAGTTTTAACCTGCCTACTGCATGGTACAAGGCTGCAGACTGTTGATTTTTACAGTAAAATCACAGATGTCAGCACGCCTACAAAGAAATTTTCTTCAGCAATTCCTATTTAAAAATGCTGAATGCTGGCACTTGGCATTCTTAATGGACCTTTTTGTGTAAAAACAAAATTATAATCAGGTTTTATAATCAGCTGCTCTGTTGCAATGAACCATTCATCCACATTGTTTTTGTTTCAAATTCTATATAGACTATATGCTTTGCCATACATATATATTTAAGCACATAGATAGTATATAAAGGATGAATATAATATGTTCAGAAAATAACATAGGGTTATATTGTGCCTATGATACTGTATCAGCAATTACACTCCATGTTTGGTCAGTGTATTCTGGACAAAATACTCCAACAGAAAATCATTGAAAAATAAAGATCATGTCACATAGTATTGCTCTAATTTAGATTTCTGTTTTCAATAGCCAATAGACATCTTGTAACTTCATGTCACAAGAGATTTTCCCAGAACAACCCTCTCCCAAAAGCAAGGAAAAATGAAATATTCCTACGAAGTGTGCTTTTAAGCGAAGAGATCTTTTTCCTAAATTTGTTTTCACATGGAGGAAAGGTGAGATTCTTTTCCTGCTCCTAATTTTTATGGCAGTGCCCCCACAGTGCCATCCTGCATTTCAGAAATAATTGAATGATTATTAAGGAGCTGATGGCAGCTGACCTGGCCTAGGAGAGCCAAGCAGCCCTGTTAACACGTGGCTCAGCCTGCAAACCCCTCTGAGCAAGAGCACTGCAAAGAGCACAAACACAAAACACATCACCAGATACCGCTTTAAGAACCACCCAAATGGCTGCGTGACCCTTGAAGAAAGCTGTCTGGAAAACAAATTTGTTGAGAAAATGAATTTTACAGACAAGCATTATGCAAGTTAAAAGTTACCAGACTGTTGCAAAGAAATTAATTGCATTCATCCCACATCTCACCCCTCTTACAGATGACTTCAATCATCTTGCATAGCATTAGTGGGTTGCTACAGAAGTCGCTCGGGAAAAAAAATTAATAACTATAATGTAATTAGGAAAGGGGAGGTCTTTCAATAATGCAAACAGAACTAAATAATTCATTTTTTTTACTTCAGATTCAGTCACAAAGAGAGGATATCAGCAATGTTGGAATATCTGATTCGAAGAGCAGACATTCTTCATGTGACTACTAAACTGAGAACAGGCTATCTATAAATACAGCTACTGCATTTGAACCCAGTTAACAGCTCTATTGCAAATTTAAGAAAAAGAAAATTCACTTGCAGCACTCCAGTTCAAAAATTTCAGAAGTTGTTAATTTTTATTTAGGTTGCATTTTAATTTAATTTTTTTTCTCAGCAAGTAGGGGGATTTAAAGAAAAGGAAAATATTTTAGCACTAGACTAGAAAAATAAATTGCATTGCGAGAGATTGGTATGTTTATTTTCCATCCAAAACATCTGCAAACCAAGAAATGTCTTCATATTTCTGAGTCTTGTGACAGTCCTTAGGCTAAAGGTGGAAACAGTAGTAGGAGAGGAGGGAAAGATGATTCCTTCCTAATTCAATAATACATCACTGTGTAAAATATTTGGTCTGAAAACAAAAAATATCAGAATCTATACAAAAATCTAAGCTTCTGTTATTACCTTGCAGTCATTTTGGAAAACCTTGCATCATCCACATTAATATCAATTTCTGTCTCTTATTCCACATCTTTAAAATTTATCCCATGTCTCTCACAAGAGTAATTTCATTTTCATGCTCTGTGAACTTCTATAATGTATTTTCTATCTCACAGCTGTGCAGTTCATTCACAATTCTTACTCACTTACCAGTCGGTTTTTATAGCTCTCGAGGGTATCTAAGAGCAGTTGGTCACCTACTTGAAATTATGTCAGCCTTTCATTTATGACTGTCTTTAGCATTCAGTTTCTAGCAGTGTCACTCTGTGCCAGTGGAGTACTCCCTTCTTTCTGTCCTCCTTTGTGTCTTGGTATCTGTTTCCCTCTTGGAATCACCTCAGCTCTCCATTGTTCTAAAGATCCTAAAAAACATCTGCTTCTGAAGAGCCAGACTCCTGGTGGATTTGTAGCTGCTCTGGTACAATGAATGAATATGCATTGCCCTTGTCCAACAAGCATTACAGAAGCAATATATTTGAATTAATTGCTAAGTAAAGCAGTGAACAAGGACGGAAAACAAAATGATAACCTTTAGCAAAAAAATCAGTCAGATGCTTGTCAGCACTGTACTCAGCTTTGCCACCCTGACTCTTGCTAAATCCTACAGACCACTTTAGACTCTCAGAGAGTATTAGGAAGACATGATCTTCCACAAAGAGAGCTGAGTATTGAGTGAAAAATTAGATCAACTGGGTTTCCCAAAGGAGCACAAGGGATTCTAGCTAAACTAAAGCAGGACTATTTTCTTTAAGTGTTTCAGTTTGGTGCATTTTCTTTGTTTTTGAAGGTTTTGGCTTTGCACTTACAGTAAAAATTGAGAATGCACTTAAAATCACCAAGCTCATTGTGTGTCAAGCCCTCCCAAACACAGTACACTCCCAACCAGATCAAGCAGGGTAACCATTGCTGATGTACAGCACAGCAGCATAGCTGTTACTTTAAAAGTGAAAAAATACGCTTATTCTGATGTAAATATATGAGCCTCAAAGACCTTGAACGCTACATTCAGTGCTCATAGAGAAAGCAGGAGATTTATTAAACCTACTTCCAAAATAGTATTGATTTACACACAACACCACTTTTATAATACACACGATCATGCCTCTAAACCATCTTCTACTACAAACTCAGTAAAATCAGGAATCTGACCTCTCTATACCTTTCTAAATTCAGCTGTCATGCCTAACTTGCTATGCTTCTGTCTGTGAAGTTCTAATATTAATCTAAATGTTTCAAATTACTGAATTCTTCTTGTGAACAATTCTTTGTGAATTGTTCACAAAATAATCATGGGGAAGGGAAGAGCTATCCGTAAAATAGCTCATACACCTCTGTCAGGTCAAACTATTGTTTACCAATGAGCCATTTGTCTTGGTTTCCTTTCTAATCTACAAGCAGTAAGTTATTTAAAAAAACAAAAAACTTTTGGGTCTTATTTGATAATCATGGTATAGCAACCGTAATTCTGAAATACATGTCACTTGCCTAAAGCTGATTCTACCTTCCCTTTTATACTATTTTCTTTTTCTTTCATTTCTTATTTAAAATGCTAAACATATAAATGAGCCTATTAAGGTATCTTCAGCAGAGAAATTATCTCAAGAACTGTTTTGTGCTAATGAAATATATTTTTTATTTTCTTTTTCATGCATTTTCCATGCTTAGATACCATCTAAATGAAATCAACTACCCTTATAGCTGTTAAGTGGACAATAGACAATAATTAGATAGTGATCCTAAAAATAAGCATGGAGGATACCTATTACAGTAATGTGAGTTTAATGATAATGTTAAACTCACAGACAGAAGCTTAGTGCTACTGAATAACCAGGTCTGACAGCTTTAAAAACTAAAATAGAAGTCCAAAATTTTGTTCTATTCAGATATAATGGAATTAAATATAGGACTACATTTTAAATCACAGATTCTAAGAATAATACTAAGTGCTCCTTTGTATCTCAAAGTGATGATCAGCCTGGAATATTTAGATTTCTAATTATCATAGTGTTCCCTACTGATATTAACAGAAATTTTCAATATTGTCTATTTACATCCAGATGAGAAATATGGTCTTCTCTTTTCAGTTGCTATGCACACTAAAATTTTAAAATTCAGTTGAAAGGAAATCCTACAGAAGGTCCTTCACAAAAGAAACACTTGTTGTCATTTGTAAGCAAAATGCATTATCTGATTGTGAACAACAGAAGTTTTGAAGGTAAGAAATTATAATAGAATAAAAAGAATATAAGAAATGCAAAGTGCTAAATGCTGCAACAATTTAATTCCACCTATTAGTATCTTATTAACAATAATATTGAATTATTCAAAAGAGTTGCTGGGCTTTAAAAAGCATCCTACACAGGCAAAAGCTGTAAAGACTTTTTCCTCCAAAAGAAGAGGAAAATCAAGTGAGGCAGCAAGCACGAAACAAGCACTAACCTGAGCATATGGGCTGCATTGAAAACAACATCAAATTCCATATTATCAAGTTCAGCTGCTTTTTTTGCCATTTCAGCTGCTTCTATCAGGCGAGATTCTTCTAGGAGGAACTGACCTGCAATGGAGTGCATGAACATGAGCCCACAGAAAATAACTGAGGAAATACACTTCAGACAGTATAGGCAGAAAAAGGAAGCACAAAAAAGCCCCAACAAACAACCAAACAACCAGATCCCAAACTAATAAAACAAGTAAGAAACCTATGTCTCAGATTCAATGTTTAGTTATTTGTTGATCTGCTCTGTATTTCAATATCTTTAAAATATAGTCCGTGTAGAAAAACTGCAATAAATATGATAAGTAATAACAATATTTTTGGAATATATTTAAGAAAAGTGAGAATTATAAGAGTAAAACTCAGACATCAAGAAACAATACTCCCAAACCCCAAGAAGCCTGACATTTGAGAATGTCTTTCTGCCTATACAATTACCATGATACTAGCTTCCTCAAAACAAATTGAAATAAAATAGTATCTACAAATTAAACACATTCCCAAAGCATATCCAAAAATTTGTTTTAAAAGCATATCACATTAAACAAAAATAGGTGGCTAACATCAAGTGACTCACTTTGTACAAATGAAATAACCATTATTGTTAAAACAAGTATAAACTGAAAAGAATGAATAATTTACCATTAACCAAGCTTTAACTGAAGTACAGTAGTTTCAAAACAAAACATGCAACATGCAGCAGAACTCTATAAAAATGAGTTTACCTCTGAAGGAGAAAAAAATAATTTGAAAGATACTCAACCTTATTTTTGCTCTTTTAATGCTTTTTCACACCTAATCTGTATCATTTTTTGCAACGACTTTTTAAAATAATTTAACCATCTACTATCTGTGCCTACATACCCCTTTACATTTGGAAAAGATATTCTAAAGCCTAGTGATACATTCCAGAATCCCATCCTTCCGTTTTGTCTTACTTTGTCAAGTAAGGTCTCTCAACCAAAACTCTGCCATGCCACCACTAACCACGAGCCTCAGCAGGAACAATATACCATGAGCAAATCATATTCTGTCCTGGTAAGGGATTTTCTGTCTTTTCTTTCCCCCTTCCCTCATGCATTCCCTGTTGCTTACATACTTGCTGTGTCTTTATGCAAAAAAATTCCCTTAATCAGAGCTAGCAAGGTCTGTATGAGCATCATAGACCCAATGATGCTTTGGTGTAACAAAGACCTTTGCAGAAGGAATCATTTCAATACAAAAAGTGATGAAAGGCAGCTTTCTTAGCTTTTTGTTTTCTCTGTGGATACATTTCAGCTTGGGAGAGTTGGCAGATTATTTACTCAGTCTCCTATATCTTAATTATTCAGATCTGCAAAACTTGTAAAAACATTGTGGTACCTTCCTGAATTCACTGCATAAAGTTTGCTTGCTTTAGTCACATCCACACTCTCCTGTGTACCACACTTTGATGCAGTTCAATACTTAGTGCTTATTGTGCCCAAAACCAGATGATTTACAAAAAAAACCCTTCTCACACAGGAAAAGGAATGAATGAATAAATAAATAATTAAATAGAGATAAAAAACCAAAAAGAAAACATAGTTTGAGAACAGTTTGGACCACAAGAAATTAATTTGTCTTCAGAATTATAAATCAGTGGTTGAACTGTTAATGGAAGTCTCTTAATGAAAGTCTCTTCTAGAGGGAAAAAAATTCTGACAAAACCTAAAAGTTTACTTTTAATTTTTTTTCGGATTTTTTTTTTTCTTTTGGGTACCACATCAGGGTATGCCTTATATGCAGCAAGACAAACTCGGATTTGAATTTGAAAATTCTCCATGTAAATCTATCAAATAAAATAGTTCATATATTTCGAGTTGGGCTAAATTCCTATTTTCTTTAAAGAGCAATCTTTGAAATAAGCTTGACCAACTAATATTCCAACTCTCTTCCAATGAATGAAGCAAAACAGTATCCCTAATCTTTAAGTCCATGTTAAAGCAAACCAGCCATAAAATTGTTAACATTAAGGTACTTTTGCTAACGAAAGTCTTGGATTAGCAGAGTGAAACACTGGTAAGTGGATGTGCTACTAATACATTTAGCCAGGGGGAGGAAGGAAGATAAAAGTAAAACTCCCAGTTCTCGAAAAAAGAAAATTCTAGGACTGTACATTACCATACACAATCTCTCCCCTGTACTGGAAGTGGCAATAACTCATGCTGAGTGGGTAAGAAGCAGATGATGCATATATGAAACCTACTGTGTTATCCTCTATACACAAGCCCTTCCAGAGCTCCATTTTAGGGCCAGGTCTCTTCATAAATGACTTGGATGCAGGCCTTAAAGGCATACTAAGTAAGTTTGCCCGTGATACTGAGAGGAGCTGTCAACTCCCCTGAGGGCAAGAGCTGGATTCTGCATATGGGATGGGGCAACCCTGGATGTACAGACTGGGCAATGAGATGCTGGAAACCAGGACCATGGAAAGGGATCTGAGGTTCCTGGTGGATAGCAAGGTAGATATGAGTCACAGTACCCTGGCACTGCAAGCCAGTAGAGGGATGTGATTTTCCCACTCTACTCTGCAGTGGTTTGATCTCAATGTGAATATTGTGTGCAGTTTTGGGCACCATAACATAAGAAGTTCCTGAAGCTATTAGAGAGGATCCAGAGGAGGGTTGCTGATCAAAGATTTCCTTAATTGCATGGGCTACAAATAAAATATGCTGCAACTTTCTCAGTCAGTGAAAAAGTACCTGAGTGTACAGGTGCAGGGTGGCTTGTCCCCTGCCAGTATCCAAGCACTCACACAAGGTGAGGGAAGAAAACAGAAGAGCAAAATCAAGAATATCTCTGCATCAAGATAAAGACAGCTTAATATGGGAAAGAAAAAAAGCCCCCAAAAGTAAAACAGCAAACAGCAAAGTGAATGAAATTTCTCATCACTCCTCACAGGTATAGTGATGCTCAGGCAGTCTCCAAACAAAGCCACCTCAGAAGCCAAAACGCTTTTTACTTCTCCTCCTCAGTTTTTATTGCTGAACATGATGTTATATGGATGTTATACCTATCCCTTTGGCCAGCTCAGGTCAGCTGTCCAAGCTATGTCCCATCCCAAAAAGAGAAAGCCTTGACACTGCTCAAACACCATTCAGCAACAGCCGAAACATTGGGGTGTGTTATCCAGTCTGCTTTAGTACAAATCCAAAATGAGGCATCATCCAGGCTGCTATGAAGTTACCACTATCCCAGCCAGACCCAGTACAAGGTGGAAACTTTCAGTTGAAAATTGATTTGCCAATTTCTCCTGAAAGGCAGACTAATTTTATTCACACATCTCAATTTAATTTAAAGTACCTAAAGTAGAAAAATAGCATTTTGAGAACATTAGCTGCCATTTCTTTAAATCTGATTTACTAAATTAATACAAGAATGAGCTGGATTGGCAGTTTACTGCTGTGCTTTCTTCATTAAAAAACAGTCTTCTGAACTTTCCCTGTCAAAGCCATAAAGAGGTATTCCCAAGAGAAGAGCACTAACAAGGTGTAATATTGGCAAGTTGTTGAAGGTGGATCAGAAGGTATGATCTGCAAGTCCCTGCATTCAGGAACCACTTGTGTGGGTCTAAATTTATATGTAGGATTTTCTTCTCTGAAAAGCAGCGGGCAAACCATATGATTTATGAGATACTGTCCAACATCACATAGAGAGCTTACTTATTGCAGGTGTCACGATTCCAGCTCTTGCCAACAACATAAATTATGGTAGCCTGACTGTTTTTTGGAATCACAACAGCTTTTAAAAAAACAGCTCCAAATACCACATTTTCTAGAGGAAAAATATTTTTCATTATTCTTCTTCTAAACTGGAAATGGGAAATCCGTACTTCAGGGAAAGATGTGACTTTTAGAAATGCTGTTATTTGCCCGGAATGTTGCTTAAAAAAAAAATATCTTTCTTTCTAGACAGCACAGGGGTGAGAGTAAACATGTAGTCATTAAAGAGTAAGAGCTGTTAAAGACCTTTGATAGCAGAGAACTGATTCAGTATTTCATAATCTTCTTAGTAATTTTTTCCTAAACTATCTAAGAATCAGAAATAGCATTAAAGCTGCTGAAACCTGTACCTGCAGCCTTGCTCAAATTTACTTATCATTGCAAACCATCAAGAGTGGTTTTGAGTCCATATTTGCCCCATATTTGGGGCAATATATGCAATCTACTGAAAAATAAGATATAAGTATGTATGTAATTTAAACAAAAACAGAAAATTTCCAGTTCCCAGCAACTGAAAAGAACAGTTTATTTTCAACTTTTATCAATTTTTAAAAACTACTTATCCACATACATGAAAGCATACAGCTCGCTATCCTGTATAATTGTCTCCCTAAAACAATCATGAACACTAGGACAGCATTTGGTAAGACATGCACCACCAATTTAAAAGCCATACATTTGAACTGGTACTTCTGCTGCTTTATTGTAACAAGAAAGGTATGAATTGGTTGGGATATGTCTGTATGTAAAAATCTTTTATATTCACAGCACAAAGGTATTCGTGTGTCCCTCTACAACAGGCTTAACTATTCTTTGCAGGCACTGCGAGCCTTTATTTTACTAGAAAAAAGTGCAATTTGCACCAATCTTTTAGTTGAAACGTTCCCTCTTTTACTCACTGGCAAACATACAAAGGTACTCTGTCCCAGAACAGCAGATTTCTGAAATAACTCATCTTGCTGGTATTGCTTTTGAAAAGATCTTGAATGTTCTCAGAATGCTGCTGGTTCTGCATTTACTCAGGTTGCCATGACAGACTTGTGTGGTGATATCTTTAGTAATCGAAGCAAAACTGAGTAAACTACCTTCTGAATAATAATGCAAAAATCTTCAATGCCATCCGAACAGGAATTTGCTTATTTTAATATACATTTCTCACCAAGTCTTCTTCTTCTTATCTTCTTCAGAAGAGTTTTTTACTTCCACATGAGCCACGTGAAAAGTGGCTCTAGCAAGATTCAACTGTAAAATCTGTTTGTAATAAACTTCACTAGATGTTCTTTCAGCACATCCAGCATTGACGATTTGAAGCTGAAT